ATATATATATGCAAAATTGGAAGAAGAAAGAAAAAAAAAGAAATGGTTAAGTAACTAAGAAGAAGGGGCTGGGGAGATGGCTCAGTAGAATAAGTACTTCCCAGGCAAGCGCCAGGGCCTGAGTTCAATCCCCCGTTCAAAACAAAACAAAACAAACCCCCCAAAAACAAAAAAGCAAAAAGCTGAGTCCCTGGGATGCTAGCAGCATGTTTTCCTCGCATCCTGGTTCCCAGATGACTCGGTGGTGCCCACCCACCCTGAGGGTCGATCTTCCCCACCGAGTCCACCAACTCACGGATCAACCTCCTCTGGAAGGAGTCCTTACAGACAACACCCAGAAGAAAGGCTTAACCAGTTTTTAGGCAATGCTTAATCCAGTCAGACCGCCAGCTAAAAGCAACCACCACAGGTAGTATTATTAGCAGAATTCCCCTCAAATTAAGTTAAAGGAGTCAGCCGTGGCCACACCACATTTCTAGGACTGCACGTTCTGCCTATCTCATTTTTGGAAGTTGGTTGGCAGTGTAAAAACAATTTCGTGTCAGTTTAGGATGATCTTGACGGGAAGGTCACTTGGAGAGAGGAAATTTTACTTCCTTGCGGAGCCTGGGAGAGGGAGAGAACTTGCCAACTCTAGAGGCCAGAAGTAGCTAAGACTGAGAATTACACGAAAAGGAAATATCGGACTCAGTGTGATAAAGAATTTTTGAAGAGTCTCCAGTCCAGTGAACTTCACTGGGAAATGGTAAGAGGTCCATCTCTGAGAAACTTTTAATACTGTTGGGAAGGTCTACAATTGCAGCTAAGACCTATAAAGCCTGCGAGCCCAGGATGTTTCCTACATATTTAAAGTATTATAAACATTGTAAACAAGACAAACTAAAACCAATAATAAGGGACAGGGACCACATGTGGCTTGCAAAGCCTAAAATATTTTCTATCTGGTCCTTTAAGAAAAATTTTGCATGAACATGGACTTGAGTTTTCTTGAGATTTAAAAGAGGATTAAACTAAAAGTCCTAATAAAGCATTAACATATACTATTTAATAGGAATTTGTGTTATGTTTTCTCTTACTTAAATTATATTTGTTTTCTGAATATCTTCTTTCTGAGTCTAATACTTGAACTCCGCCCCCCATTGTTGGACCCTGGGGCCCCAAGCTTCTTGCTTGGTCAGTCTCTTGCTTGTGCTCTTGTCACAGGGGTTGTCTCTAGGCAGCTTCATGCATATTTAATGTAACCATTGCTTAAAGCATAATTTCCAGCCATTATAATTTTTGATTTATTTTTTCCCCTTTGACCTATTCAAGCCACATATCTGGGTCAGTTTGGGAAAGTGGGGAATTTGGGAATGCGAGGAGAAATGAGGTCAGGATGGGTTTGCCTTTCTCAGCAGAGAAAGTGGTTCATAGTCATTATGTGTAATTACAGAACAAATTCACTGTTAGATTCAATCTACACATCTGTAACTTCTTATGTACTGTGGATGGCTACAAATTGTCTTTAAGTGGGGGCTACAAAGTGAGTTTAGAAAGGAAAATATCTTCCCAAGCATTCCTACCAACACTAGACCATGCTCCATCCCTATGCTATGCCCTACCCTAGACCATGCAATCTTAAATTAAAAATTTAAGATTAGCTCAGAAAAATCATACAAAGTCCCATAGTTCACCTGGCAGGAAGGGTGAATAAGTCAAGGACTCATGCAGTGCTAGAGCTACTGTCTCAGGATAGAAGACTCCATGCAGGAATGCTGCTAGGGCCCCTGGGGCCTTCTTGTCTCCTCCATCCATGTAGTTCCTTCTCCCATTCTGTGTGTGCATTGGCTGATTCTCCACCCTAACATGGGGTTTCCAAGGGCATGTATGGCCCAACTGAGCACCTGATTTAATGGGTGCAGTTGCTCTGTCTATAAGAGCTGAGGACTCAGCTTCTCTCAACCAACTGCTCAAGTCTCTGAGAGCCAGATATCTGGGTTGAGGTTCTAATAGTGCATCTTGGGTCATGTGTCTCCAACCTGGTCCAATAAGCTTCTCTTATGTGGAAATGTCATGTGGTATATAGACTGGCTGCTAAGACCTACCTGGTGAACAGAAGATGAGGACTTGCCTCTCCAGAACAAATACACAGACAAATGACAAATGAAATTATAAGAAAAAAAGCCATCTCAGTAGGTACTAGATCACTTTAGGTGTCACAACTTTCTATACATTGAAAAGTTCATGCTTCTTCAATAAAAGCTCCAGTGTTTCTGTCCTATTAGAGTAGCTTTCCTTCTCAGGTGAAAAGTTTGATAAACATTCCCATATTCATGAGAAAATTATGGGCTAGAGTAACTCTACTGAACCTACATTTTTCTTTATTTTTTTTAAAGAGAATAAAAATTAGAATTTAAACAGAAAAAACTACAAGTGATACAAATTTTCACTTAAAGTAATATGAATTTCACAGTATTTGTTGTAATACATAGTGTTGTCTTCCAACCAGTTATTCACATTACCAGATATATGCACGCAAAATTGGAAAAAGAAAGAAAGAAAAAAGAAATATATAAGAAATGAAGAAGAGAAAAGGTACAAACAATTGAAAAAAGGAGATGAAAAAATTAAAGAATGAACTACTTCTTTCCATAAACCTGAATAAATGCACAATACAGTTACCAAAAGCATCCTGCTTATATACATAGATAAATCTCTTTCCTCCACTCTCTCTCTTGTCCTTCTCAACTCGATAACTTTTTTCTTTCGAATAAATTCATTTCCCTTTGCCAGTGTCTATGTACCCTTCAGATTCCACTTTTCTCTTTTTTTTCCAAAGAAAAAGAATGCATGCCTTTCTTTTATTGTCTGAGATGCTCCCAAGGAAGATTACTCTTTTTGAATAGAAATAAGATTATCAAATCCACAAAATCTTCTCCAATATCCTATTACCAAGTCAACTATGAAATAAATAACATGTTAGGACAAAATTCCCAAAAAGGCTGCAATGGATTAGCCAGAGATAGAAAATTCTTGAAAGCTCTGGCCAGGAACTGGGCCTACGTGCTCACAGCTGGGGAGGAGGGGGTCCAGGTGGTAACTGGAGTTAAGTATTCCTCAGGGTGCTGAGGTGCCTGACCTCCTCAGTGTAAATCCCAAATCTTTCCCATAGCTTCCAAGGGCCTACATGGTCTGCTCTCCCATACCATCACTCACGTCTACACCCCTGCTCTTGCACCCCCTGATCTTGGCACAGAGCTGGACATAGCCCTCAAAAAGTATTTGTCATTTGACAGTTATTCAATTGGGTGCATGCATACCTGAGACAGGAGCTGAAAAGACCAAGTCTCTGACCTGGTATCATCAGTGAAGCAGAATGAGCCAGCCCTTCTCCAGCTTCTAATGCTCTTCAGTTTTGCAAACTGTCCCTATGGTCCTCAAAGTCTGTTCTCTGGCACCCTCATTAGTACCCTTACTTCTCCTTTTAGTTTCAGGTGATCTACTGCACAGAAACATAGCTATCAGATGGGAGAGCCTCTGAGTATACCTGCATCTACGCCATCAAGAGCCGTGTTCTCTGGTCAGGGCAAGCTTGATCCTCCAACAGACTCCAGTGCACTTCCCTCCGTATCTTTGGTGTCTCCTGCTTTACAGTTGCTCCCCTAATAGTCACATGTGCACTAACTTTTTCCTTACTCTGTATCACCCAAGAGTGTTTCCTGCCATACTTGTCCTAAAATTATCTCCTCTTCCTCTGTGTCTCCAAGCAATCTCATCCTGCTGCACCAGGGCTCAGGGACTCCCACCCTTCCTCTCCTCTCCAAAGTTTCAAGTCCCTGTTGGTAGCTAATCCAGAAGACACTGGTCAGCTCCTTGTTTTGATCTTTGGCAGAACTAAAGCAATGACCTACATGTTCATTGGAATCATTGTCTCATGCTTCCCACCCTACTGTGACTCATAATGATAGTCT